TGACTAGTCGATGGTCAGAGGGCAGATCAGCTCCACGGTAGGTCCTGGTGTCAAGGACATGGGCTCGCATCCGCTGTTCCGTCACTATGTAGTCCGGCAGATGCTCTTGCTTGGACCCGGCATGCATCCATGATGTTGCGTGGATGCACCGATGCCGGAACAGCGTGTTGGTAATTACAAGCCCATGGGCTGCACAAAAATCTAGCAGCCTCCTACCGTTGTTATTGAGCTGATCTGGCCCATGCCCTCCAATCACTCCCGACCAGGTGCCAGCATCTTGACCAACTCGGGCATTGAAGTCACCCAACAAGATGACTCTATCCCGAGGGGCCACTTTAGCCAGCACCGTGTGACAGGTCATAGAAGGCATCTGACTCATCGGCTTTGCCTGCATCCCTCCACGGATGTTCGTCTTCGGTGGGGGCATAAGTAACCACGACCACCACTCCTCGCCTCCGGTTGATGGGAAGGCGAGCCCAAAGTAGCCTGGGGCTTATACAGCTTCGCACACCTCACCGCCACACACACACCAACATAAACACACACACACACCAACACATACCACCTACACCAACATACACACACACAACTACACATACCAACATACACACACCAACACACACACACCAAGACACACGTACACACACACACACACACGCCAACACACCCAACACCAACATACACACACACACCAAGACACACACACACACACACCAAGACACATGTCCACACACGTACACACATATTGAGTGTTTACATCTCCCCCACATCACCCCTTCCATAATAAAAAAGGTGCTCGCAAATCTGATTGGATGCCCCGCCACAGCAAAATAACGGCGCGCAATTGGCTAAAACCGTCACGGGGGGGGCGGGGTGGGAGGGAGGGGTAAAGAAAACAAACGCTCGCCACTGATTGGCTCTGCGGTGAAGCGTCTCGCGGCCTTGATTGGTTCAAAGAAAGATCGCGCCCCCAAACCCCCCCCCCCCGCCCACCGCAGGGCTCGCATCCGATTGGTTCGCGGTCTCTCGCGACGCATCCGATTGGGTAATCACGCCCAACCGCTTCGCACCCGATTGGATAGATTCGCACCACCCACCCCCCCGCCAACCCCTCACCCCATCCAATCCACGACGGAGGTCACAATGACGGCTGCCCCACCCCCCTTTCTCGGCGGCCCTTAATGGCTACCCCCCCCCCCCCCCCAAAACGAGTGTCTCCGTTACAGCCGCCACCCCCTGAGCGAATCAAAATGGCCACCCAGTATCCCCCATCAAGGCCGCCAGCCCCAAATCAGTTTCTCCACGATGGCTGCCCCCCTTCTCAGCGACCCAAAAAATGGCCGCCAAATTGGCCTATCGGTGACGGCCGCCGCCACGCCCCCGCCCCCGCCCCCCCCCCCCATTCTCAGCGACCCAAAATGGCCTCCCAAGTCTCTCCATGACGGCCGCCACCCCCCACCCCCCCCCCCCCCCCGGCTAGGCGACTCAAAATGGCCACCCCACAAATCGGTGTCTCCACAACGGCCACTCAGTCTCCCTTTAGCGGCCGCCACCCTCCACGCTGACAAAAATGGCCGCCAAATCGGCCTATCGGTGACGGCCGCCACGCCCCCCCCCCACCTTCTCAGCGACCCAAAAATGGCCGCCCAAGTCTCTCCACTACAGCCGCCACCCCCCTCTGCGACTCTAAATGGCCTCCCAAGTCTCTCCATGACGGCCGCCACCCCCCTCGACGACTCAAAATGGCCACCCCACAAATCGGTGTCTCCACAACGGCCACTCGGTCTCCCTTTAGCGGCCGCCACCCCCCACGCTGACGAAAATGGCCGCCAAATCGGCCTATCGGTGACGGCCGCCACCCCCCCCCCACCTTCTCAGCGACCCAAAAATGGCCGCCCAAGTCTCTCCATGACGGCCGCCACCCCCCTCTGCGACTCAAAATGGCCTCCAAAGTCTCTCCATGATGGCCGCCACCCCCCTCGACGACTCAAAATGGCCACCCCACAAATCGGTGTCTCCACAACGGCTGCCCCCCCCCCGCCCCCCCCCATTCTCAGCGACCCAAAATGGCCGCCCAAGTCTCTCCACTACGGCCGCCACCTCGCGCTACCCAAAATGGCCTCCCAAGTCTCTCCACTACGGCCGCCACCCCCCTCGACAACTCAAAATGGCCTCCCAAGTCTCTCCATGACGGCCGCCACCCCCCTCGACGACTCAAAATGGCCGCCCAAGTCTCTCCATGACGGCCGCCACCCCTCCCTAGGCGACTCAAAATGGCCACCCCACAAATCGGTGTCTCCACAACGGCTGCCCCCCCCCCCCCCCCCCCCCCCCCCCCCATTCTCAGCGACCCAAAAATGGCCGCTCAAGTCTCTCCACGACGGCCGCCACCTCACGCTACCCAAAATGGCCGCCAAATCGGTCCATCGATGACGGCTGCCCCCCCACCACCCCCCCTGCCCCCCGCCCCAACTCTGTGGACCCAAAACGGCCACCCCCCCCCCCAAATTAGTGTCTCCGTAACAGCTGCCCCCCCCCGTCCCTCCCCCCTCTCTCAGCGACCCGCATTTAGCCTCACACCACAACGGCCGCCCCCCGAACCGGTCGTGCCCAATGGCGCCTCACCGCTCTCAGTGACCCCCACCCACCCCACGCTCTCAGTGACCCCCACGCTCTCAGTGACCACCACCCACCCCACGCTCTCAGTGACCCCCTCCCCACGCTCTCAGTGACTCCCTCCCCACGCTCTCAAGTGACCCCCTCCCCACGCTCTCAGTGACTCCCACCCCACGCTCTCAGTGACCACCCCCCCCTACCCCAATGCTCTCAGTGACTCGACAAAAAGGTCCTCACCCGAATCAGTCTGGCCGATAGGCGGCACCGCCATCCAAGACTCGCGTCGAAGCAAGTTTCAAAATGGCCACCGTTCCCCGTATCTCCCCCCTCTCCCATCTCTCTCAATTACGGCCACGCCCCCAACTCCTCTCTCGGCGAATCAAAAAGCGTCGCTCGGGGGCGAAGGCCGACGCCCCACTTCCAACCGCCACAGGATTTCAAGATGGCCGCCGTCCCAGGCAGAGTAACGGGCGCCCCTCTCTGCACCCCCTTCCCCACACTCCTCTCTCTCTCGGCCAATCAAAAGCGTCGCTCGCGCAATTACAATTACGGCCACGCCCACCCCCCCCACCCACTCCTCTCTCGGCGAATCAAAAAGCGTCGCTCGGGACGAAGACCGATGCCCCACGCCCCACTTCCAACCGCCACAGGATTTAAAGATGGCCGCCGTCCCAGTCAGAGTAACGGGCGCCCCTCTGCACCCCCCACACTCCTCTCTCTCGGCCAATCAAAAGCGTCGCTCGCGAAATTACAATTACGGCCACACCCCCCCCCCACCCACTCCTCTCTCAGCGAATCAAAAAGCGTCGCTCGGGACGAAGGCCGACGCCCCACGCCCCACTTCCAACCGCCACAGGATTTCAAGATGGCCGCCGTCCCAGTCAGAGTAACGGGCGCCCCTCTCCCCCCCACACTCCTCTCTCTCGGCCAATCAAAAGCGTCGCTCGCGCAATTACAATTACGGCCACGCCCCCCCCACTCTCTCAGCGAATCAAAAAGCGTCGCTCTCTCAATTAAAATTACGCCCCACCCACCCACCCCCAACGTCTCTCTCTCGGCGAATCAAAAAGCGTCGCTCGCGCAATTACAATTACACCCCCCCACCCACCCACGCCCCGCCCGCCCCCCCAAGAAAATAATAATAATTAAACAACAACAACAACATTAGAGTCCCCGACGCTTTCTTTGCCGACCTTTGTGTGTGTGTGTGTGGGGGGCGGTCAAACATCATCGCCCATCTCCCTTCTCCCTTCTCCGTTCTTCGTCTCCGCTTACTCGATTCAACCCGGAGGAGGAGGAGGAGCCGGCCACAGCCGCGGCTCCCACCGCTGCCACCAAACGAACCCAACGTGCGCGGTGCGGTGGAGTGGATAGATGGTTACGTGGGTGGGTAAGGTGGCTGGGTGGGTGGGTAGGTGGGTGGCTGGGTGAGTAGGTAGATGGTGGGTGGGTGGCTGGGTGGGTGGCTGGGTGAGTGATTAGGTGGGTGGGTAGGTGGGCGAGTGGTTAGGTGGGTGGGTAGGTGGGCGAGTGGTTAGGTGGGTGGGTAGGTGGGTGAGTGGTTAGGTGGGTGGGTAGGTGGCGAGTGGTAGGTGGATGGTAGGGTAGGTAGGTGGTGGGTAGGTGGGTAGGTAGGTGGCTGGGTGGGTAGGTAGGTGGCTGGGTGGGTAGGTGGGTGGGTAGGTGGGTGGGTGAGTAGGTAGGTGGTGGGTGGGTAGGTAGGTGGGTGAGTAGGTAGGTGGTGGGTGGGTGAGTAGGTAGGTGAGCAGGTGGATAGGTGGGTGGGTGGGAGTGAAGTTAGGCAGATGGGTGGGTAGATGAGTGTGCGGGTAGGCAGATAGGTGGGTGGATAGGTGGGTGGGTGAATGGGTGGGTGGGTAAGAGGGGTTGTCGTCATTGTCGTCGTGGTGCTGGTGGTGCTGGTGGTGGTGGTTGTTGTGGTGGTGCTGCTGGTGCTGCTGCTGGTGGTGGTGATGCTGGTGGTGGTGATGCTGGTGGTGGTGCTGGTGCTACTGGTGGTGGTGATGCTGGTGGTGCTGGTGGTGGTGCTGGTGGTGGTGGTCGTTGTGGTGGTGATGGTGGTGGTGGTGCTGCTGCAACTGGTGGTGCTGGTTGTTGTGGTGGTGGTTGTTGTGGTGCTGGTGGTGGTTGTGGTGGTGCTGCTGGTGGTGCTGCTGGTGGTGTCCATCGCACGGAGGATCTCCCAGGTTGGTGCATTCCTTGCTAAGCCGGCGGGCGGGGGGGCGTGGTGGAGGGGGCGTGGTGGGGGGGGCGTGGGGGGGGCGTGGGGGGGGCGTGGTGGGGGGGAGGGGGCGTGTTGGGGGGGCGTGGTGGTGGGGGGGGGGGCGTGGTGAGGGGGGGTGTGGCCCAAAACAATCGGCTCAAACTCCCCCCCCCCAATATCTCTCCTCCTCCTCCTCCTTCTCGGGCTCCTCCATCGAATCCGGAGGAGGAGCCACCACCGCCTCCGCCGCCACCGCCGTGTGGGGGCGGGCGGGTGGGTGCTTGGTCGTCGGCGGTGGCGGTGTTGACGGCGACCCGCAGACCGGTTGATCGCTTGTACGGTTGTACGGTTCACCGGTTCGCCGGCTAGGCCGGCCGTTGTTGTTGACCAGGTTGGACCAGGTTTGGACCAGGTTTGGACCAGGTTTGGACCAGGTTTGGCCGGTTCGCCGGTTGGCTCGTGTCCATCACACGGAGATCTCGTAGGTGGTGCCCCCCACCCCGGACACCTTCTTCACGCTCGGCGCCCGCCGCGAGGGGCTCCCGGGCCCCGCCGGGCTCTCGGCGGATGTCGCCGTTGCGGCCGCGGCGGCCGCCGGGGAGCCGCCGACGCCGACGCCGACGCCGCCGCCGACGGAGTTGGCCGACAAAGCGGCCGACGCTGGGGTCTGCCCGTTGGCCCTCGCGTAGCCGCCAACGCTCTTGGGTTTGGCCTCATCCCTGAGTGGAGGCGGGGTGAGGGGGGGAGTGCGTCAGCCGCGAGCAATGCGGTACACTACACGCTATAAAACTATCCGTGGCGCTAACGCCTGAAATGAAATAACTAAACGCAAACCGCCACATCTTTCAAATGTTTCTTGCCGTTGGTTTTCACGCCTGACGGTGGCTGCTTGGTGCTGCAGTCGAAAAACGTCGTGAGGATTTTATTGTTGTTTTTTTATATGTTTTTTTAAATTATTTTATTGTTTCCCCTTCTACGTGGTGGTGACTTTACCGAAAGAACCAAGAGTATGGTTAGCAGCGTCGAGCCCACCTTAACCTATTACGGTAAAACCTTGGGTTGCGGGTAACCTGGCCTGCGCCCAGTGTTTCGCGAGACGAGCTAAATCATTTTGTTTGGAAAGTAAATATTAATTTGACAAACGAGCGTGAGGCTTCCGTTCACCCCTCCGGCCCCCCTTTTCTCTTTCCCTTGCTTCTCTGTCTGTCTGTCTTTCCTCTCCTTGCCTCTTGGTGTCCCTGTATACGTATTGCTGCTGACTTGTACCTCGTATTTGTTCACTCTGTCTATGCTGGTGTGTTCAATCCGGAGGATGAACACGAAATTTAGCACTCTTCTGAAATTCGTGGTCCGCCAGGCAAGTGTCTAACTGTGCCGTTGGCCTGACAGGTTTTGCATCGCGTAATTCTTTTCCTAGGTTTGTTGAATTCTCGCCTCTCTTCTTCTTTACCTCCGTGCAGCTTGGCGCTCTCTACGTGTTGCGCTGATGTCGCCCTATGTGCTCCCCTCGCTATTTGCTTTTTTTTACACCTGATGACGATCGCCTGTGTTTTGCGGTCGAAACGTCGCGATGGATTTATTTTTAGGTAATTTCATGGTATTTCTACACAGGTGACTTTACCGAGAAAAAAAAACCAATGAGTAAGCCACCGCTCTTCGTATTTCCCCCACCCGTCAACTTTACAGTAGTCGCGTTAACAATTTGTTGCTTTTGGAAGCAGGGGGCGGCGCCGACACGCGCATCTGCGCATGCGCGGAAACGCCGACCGGTGATCGTCGCCGCTAGCAATGCACAGACGCGATCGGTGGGGTACGGGGGGCGAGAATTCTCGTCCGCGTTCAAAATGCAACAAAAAACACAAACGCTGCGGTAAATTCTTCAGTGTGGCGTCTTCTTCTCCTCTCTGCCACCCCAATGGGAGCACTTACTAGTGTGGAGTCGGTAGATACTGCTACTCTAGTTCCTTAGATACTATTAGTGTAGAGCGGGCGGGTGGATGGTGTAGGGGGGGGGGGGGGATGGAGCTAGCCAGCCCCAGCCGGCCAAGGTGCCATCTCGGACAGGTTGGTCAAGCTAGGCGAGGCCGGGTGCTCTGCACGGGACTAGGCCTCACCATGGCACTCCGTTAAGTTAGTAGTTATTACGATAGAGTCGATATATACTATTAAAGAGTCGGTAGATATGACTATAGACAAATTGGATACTACTATAAAGTTTGTAATTACTTTTATGAGACCTCCTTTGCCAGTAACAAGATATAGTAATAGGTTACTATATCAGACATGATGCCTTGAATAAAGATGTCAGTTTTTTGTGCCAGTTAAAAGGGTAAAACCTATTACTATATCTTGTTACTGGCAAAGGAGGTCTCATAATGTAAATGCTCACCCCGAGCCCTCAATACTCTGATAGTGTGCTGTTTTTGAGTTGTACGCCTTTTGGCGTCTTCTGGTCCAACACCAGTGGAGACTAAAGGGGCTCTAAAGAAAGCCGTCTCGGGTGTGGACCAATCAAATTCAAGGACAGTGCCAATATTATTATCAGAGTTGTATCTTTGTTTGCATTTTTGACTGCTTGTGTTGCGGTTATTGCAGATATGATGCTTTGTAATTACTGTTACTGTAGATCGGGCAGTGGGGGAGGAGGGGTATAGCAGCCCAGCCCCAGCCTGCCAAGGTGCCACCTCGGCTGGCTGGGTAATCTAGGCAAGGCAGGGGGCTCTCCACGGGACTAGGCCTCACCACGACACTTTGTATAGTTAGCAGATACTATTATACAGTCGATATATACTATTATAGAGTCGGTAGATACGACTATAGAGTCGGTAGATACTACTGTAGAGTAGGTATATACTAATTCAGTAGATACTATTCTAGAGTCAGTAGATACTACTGTAGTGTCAGTAGACACTACTATAGAGTCAGTATACACTACTATAGAGTCAATAGACACTATAGATTCAGTAGATACTACTATAGTCATTAGATACTACTGCAGAGTCAGTAGTTACTACTATAGATTCGGTAGCGGTAGATACTACTAAAGAGTCGGTAGATACTACCGTAGAGTCAGTAGGAACACTATAGTCAGTAGATACTACTATAGTGTCAGTAGACACTGCTATAGTGTCAGTAGATACTACTATACAGTCAGTAGAAACTGCTCTAGTGGCAGTAGATACTACTATACAGTTAGTAGATACTACTATAGTGTCAGTAGATGCTGCAAAAGAGTCAGTAGATACTACTATAGTGTCAGTAGATACTACTATAGATTCACTAGATACTACTATACAGTCAGTAGATACTACTACGGTCAGTAGACGCTGCTATAGTGTCAGTAGATACTACTATGCAGTCAGTAGATACTACTATACAGTCAGTAGAAACTGCTATAGATTCACTAGATACTACTATACAGTCAGTAGATACTACTATAGATTCACTAGATACTACTATACAGTCAGTAGATACTACTACGGTCAGTAGATACTATTATAGTGTCAGTAGATACTACTATACAGTCAGTAGATACTACTACGGTCAGTAGACGCTGCAAAAGAGTCAGTAGATACTACTGTAGAGTCAGTAGATACTACTATAGAGTCAGTAGTTACTACTATATAGAGTCAGTAGAGACTACTATAGAGTTAGTAGTTACTACTATAGAGTCAGTAGTTACTACTATAGAGTCAGTAGATACTACTATAGTGTCAGTAGATGCTGCAAAAGAGTCAGTAGATACTACTATAGTGTCAGTAGATACTATTATAGTGTCTGTAGATACTACTATACAGTCAGTAGATACTACTATACAGTCAGTAGATACTACTACGGTCAGTAGATACTATTATAGTGTCAGTAGATACTACTATGCAGTCAGTAGATACTACTATACGGTCAGTAGAAACTGCTATAGATTCACTAGATACTACTATAGTGTCAGTAGATGCTGCAAAAGAGTCAGTAGATACTACTATAGTGTCAGTAGATACTATTATAGTGTCTGTAGATACTACTATACAGTCAGTAGATACTACTATACAGTCAGTAGATACTACTACGGTCAGTAGATACTATTATAGTGTCAGTAGATACTACTATGCAGTCAGTAGATACTACTATACGGTCAGTAGAAACTGCTATAGATTCACTAGATACTACTATAGTGTCAGTAGATACTACTATAGATTCACTAGAAACTACCATACAGTCAGTAGATACTACTACGGTCAGTAGACACTGCAAAAGAGTCAGTATATACTACTGTAGTGTCAGTAGATACTACTATACAGTCAGTAGAAACTGCTCTAGTGGCAGTAGATACTACTATACAGTCAGTACATACTACTACGGTCAGTAGACACTGCAAAAGAGTCAGTAGATACTACTGTAGTGTCAGTAGATACTACTATAGTGTCAGTAGAAACTACTATAGATTCACTAGAAACTACTATACAGTCAGTAGATAATACTACGGTCAGTAGACACTGCAAAAGAGTCAGTAGATACTACTGTAGAGTCAGTAGATACTACTATAGTGTCAGTAGAAACTACTATACAGTCAGTAGATACTACTACGGTCAGTAGACACTGCAAAAGAGTCAGTAGATACTACTGTAGTGTCAGTAGATACTACTATAGTGTCAGTAGAAACTACTATAGATTCACTAGAAACTACTATACAGTCAGTAGATAATACTACGGTCAGTAGACACTGCAAAAGAGTCAGTAGATACTACTGTAGTGTCAGTAGATACTACTATAGTGTCAGTAGAAACTACTATACAGTCAGTAGATACTACTACGGTCAGTAGACACTGCAAAAGAGTCAGTAGATACTACTGTAGTGTCAGTAGATACTACTATAGTGTCAGTAGAAACTACTATAGATTCACTAGAAACTACTATACAGTCAGTAGATAATACTACGGTCAGTAGACACTGCAAAAGAGTCAGTAGATACTACTGTAGAGTCAGTAGATACTACTATAGTGTCAGTAGATACTACTACGGTCAGTAGATACTGCAAAAGAGTCAGTAGATACTACTGTAGTGTCAGTAGATACTACTATAGATTCACTATATACTACTATACAGTCAGTAGATACTACTATAGTGTCAGTAGATACTACTATACAGTCAGTAGATACTACTATAGATTCACTAGATACTACTATACAGTCAGTAGATACTACTATACAGTCAGTAGATACTACTACGGTCAGTAGATACTACTGTAGTGTCAGTAGATACTACTGTAGAGTCAGTAGATACTACTATAGAGTCAGTAGTTACTACTATAAAGTCAGTAGTTACTACTATAGAGTCAGTAGATACTACTATAGAGTTAGTAGTTACTACTATAGAGTCAGTAGAGACTACTATAGATTTAGTAGTTACTACTATAGAGTCAGTAGATACTACTATAGTGTCAGTAGATACTACTATAGTTTCACTAGATACTACTATACAGTCAGTAGATACTACTATAGAGTCAGTAGATACTACTAAAGAGTCAGTAGATACTACTGTAGTGTCAGTAGATACTACTATAGATTCACTATATACTACTATACAGTCAGTAGATACTACTGTAGAGTCAGTAGATACTATAGATTCACTATATACTACTATACAGTCAGTAGATACTACTATAGTGTCAGTAGATACTACTATAGATTCACTATATACTACTATACAGTCAGTAGATACTACTACGGTCAGTAGACACTGCAAAAGAGTCAGTAGATACTACTGTAGAGTCAGCAGATACTATTATAGTGTCAGTAGATACTATTATAGTGTCAGTAGATACTACTATAGTGTCAGTAGATACTACTACAGATTCACTATATACTACTGTACAGTCAGTAGATACTACTACGGTCAGTAGATGCTGCAAAAGAGTTAGTAGATACTATTGTAGAGTCAGTAGATACTACTATAGATTCAGTAGATACTACTATAGTGTCAGTAGATACTACTATAGTGTCAGTAGACACTACTAGAGAGTCAGTAGATACCACTATAGTGTCAGTAGATACTACTATAGTGTCAGTAGATACTACTATAGTGTCAGTAGATACTACTATAGATTCACTATATACTACTATACAGTCAGTAGATACTACTATAGATTCACTAGGTACTACTATACAGTCAGTAGATACTACTACGGTCAGTAGATGCTGCAAAAGAGTCAGTAGATACTACTGTAGAGTCAGTAGATACTACTATAGATTCAGTAGATACTACTATAGTGTCAATAGACACTACTAGAGAGTCAGTAGATACCACTATAGTGTCAGTAGATACTACTAGAGAGTCAGTAGATACTACTATAGTGTCAGTAGACACTACTAGAGAGTCAGTAGATACCACTATAGTGTCAGTAGATACTACTATAGTGTCAGTAGATACTACTATAGTGTCAGTAGATACTACTATAGTGTCAGTAGATACTACTATAGTGTCAGTAGACACTACTAGAGAGTCAGTAGATACCACTATAGTGTCAGTAGATACTACTACGGTCAGTAGATGCTGCAAAAGAGTCAGTAGATACTACTGTAGTAGTAGATACTACTGTAGTAGTATCTACTGACACTATATTTTCTATTACTTGTGGATTCAGGACTGCAAGCCTCTCTTCCCCCCCGTCTCACTCGCCCGCCCGCCCGCTCGCTCGCTCCCGCTCGCTGATCCGCTCACTCACCCAATCACCCGCCCGCTCGCCCGCCCGCTCGCTCGCCCGCTCGCTCACCCGCTCGCTCATCCGCTCACTCGCTCGCTTGCTCATCCACCCACTCAATCACTCACCCACCCACCCGCCCACTCACCTCGCCCACCCCCTCACCCTCCCCCCCACCCGCACCACTCACTTGATCTCCGTCACCTGCTCCCCGAGGTGGTAGTGGTGGTGGTGGCAGTGCAGCTGCTGCCCGCCGGGCGACTGCGACGGCAGCAGCAGCCCCCCGCCGCCGCCGCCGATCGGCGTGCCCATCGCCTTGCTGCCGACGGGACTCCCGGCGCCGCCGGCGTTGTTGTTGTTCGTCAGATCGGGCGGCACCCTCGGCGCTCGGGACGCCCGCAAGGCGGCCGCCGCGGCCGCCGCCGCGGCCGCCGCCGCCCCGTAGCCGTGCGTCCTGGGGTCCGCCGCCGCTCCGCCTCCACCGCCTCCTCCGCCTCCACCGCCTGCACCGCCTCCGCCTCCACCGCCTCCGCCTGCACCGCCTCCTCCGCCTGCACCGCCTCCGCCGCCGGCCCCCCCCCGCTGCTGCTGCTGCTGCTGCTGGTGGTGGTGGTGCAGCGTCAGCGCCAGCAGCTGCTGCCGCCCGTGACCCTCCTCCAAGAGCTTGCGCTCCTGGATGGACGCCATGATCTGCGTGGAGAGGTTGTCGTAGCGCACCGGCGACGGCTCACGGTTGGCCCCCGCCGGCGCCGCCCCCGGCGCCGCCGCCGCTCGGCAGCCGGCGGCGCCGCCCGCGCCCGGGACCGGGCCGCCGGCGGCACTGCCGGTGCGGGCCGACATGTACGGGGAGTGGTAGCCGATGGGGAGTCCGCGGGCCGCCTGGGCGGACGCCCCGCCGGGCCCGGCCGCCCCGCCGGGCCCGGCCGCGCCGTCCGACGTCAGGAGGCTGTCGTAGGAGAGGAAGCCTCGTCGCAGCGACGGGGAGTGCTGCCCCGCCCCCGCCTGCTGAGCCACCGCCACCGCCTGCTGAGCCAAAACCCCCGGCTGCTGGTGGTGGTGGCCTTGGTGGTGGTGCTGCTGCTGCTGCTGCTGCTGGTGGTGGTGGTGGTAGTGGTGGTGGTGGTGGTGGGGAGGAGGGGCGTGGTGAGGAGGAGCCACGTGGTGGTGCTGGTGGTGGTTGTGGCCGTGGTGTTGGTCTGGCGGGTCCGGCTCGGCCAGGGGAGCGGCCGCCGCCGGCGCCGGGGCCGGGGCCGCCGCTGGGGCCGTGCCGGCGGTGGCCGTGGTGGGGTTGTTGTTGTTGTTGGTGGTGGTGGTGGTGGCCGTGGGGTTGTTGTTGTTGGTGGTGGCGGTGGTGGTGGTGGTGTTGGTGGCGGTGTTGGGGGCGTCATCGCTTGAGGAGGCTGAGGGGAGGGGCTCGGGGAAGGCGTGGCGGAGGGAGACCTGGGGGGGGGGGGGGGGGGGGGGAGGAGGGTGGGCGGGTGGTAGGGACGGGGGGGATACGTGGGGATGGGAGGGGGGAGAAACAGGGAGTGAGTGAGCTAGCGAGTGAGTGAGTGAGCTAGTGAGTGAGTGAGCTAGTGAGTGAGTGAGCTAGTGAGTGAGCTAGTGAGCGAGTGAGTGAGCTAGTGAGTGAGTGAGCTAGTGAGTGAGCTAGTGAGTGAGCTAGTGAGTGAGTGAGTGAGCTAGTGAGTGAGCTAGTGAGTGAGTGAGCTAGTGAGTGAGCTAGTGAGCTAGTGAGTGAGCTAGTGAGTGAGTGAGCTAGTGAGTGAGCTAGTGAGTGAGCTAGTGAGTGAGTGAGTGAGCTAGTGAGTGAGCTAGTGAGTGAGCTAGTGAGTGAGTGAGCTAGTGAGTGAGTGAGTGAGCTAGTGAGTGAGCTAGTGAGTGAGCTAGTGAGTGAGTGAGCTAGTGAGTGAGTGAGCTAGTGAGTGAGTGAGCTAGTGAGTGAGCGAGTGAGTGAGTGAGCGAGTTAGCTAGTGAGTGAGCGAGTTAGCTAGTGAGTGATTGAGCTAATAAGCTAGTGAGCTAGTGAGTGGGTGAGTGAGCGAGTGAGTGAGTGAGCTAGCGAGCGAGCGGGTGAGCTAGTGAGTGAGTGAGTGAGCTAGTGAGTGAGTGAGCGAGCTAGTGAGTGAGTGAGTGAGCGAATTAGCGAGTGAGTGAGCGAGTGAGCTAGTGAGCGAGTGAGTGAGTGAGCTAGCGAGCGGGCGAGCGGGTGAGCTAGTGAGTGAGTGAGTGAGCTAGTGAGTGAGTGAGAGAGTGAGTGAGTGAGTGAGCGAGTGAGTGAGCTAGTGAGCTAATGAGTGAGTGAGACAGCGAGTGAGTGAGCTAGTGAGTGAGTGAGCTAGTGAGTGAGTGAGTTAGTGAGTGAGTGAGCTAGTGAGTGAGTGAGTGAGCGAGTGAGTGAGTGAGCTAATGAGTGAGTGAGACAGCGAGTGAGTGAGTGAGCTAGTGAGTGCGTGAGCTAGTGAGTGAGCGAGCGGGCGAGCTAGTGAGTGAGTGAGTGAGCGAGCGAGTGAGTGAGTGAGAGAGTGAGCTAGTGAGTGAGTGAGCTAGTGAGTGAGTGAGTGAGAGAGTGAGCTCGTAAGTGAGTGAGCTAGTGAGTGAGAGAGCGAGCTAGTGAGTGAGTGAGTGAGCTAGTGAGTGAGTGAGTGAGCTAGTGAGTGAGTGAGTGAGCTAGTGAGTGAGTGAGTGAGCTAGTGAGTGAGTGAGTGAGCTAGTGAGTGAGTGAGTGAGCTAGTGAGTGAGTGAGCTAGTGAGTGAGTGAGTGAGCTAGTGAGTGAGTGAGCGAGCTAGTGAGTGAGTGAGCTAGTGAGTGAGTGAGTGAGCTAGTGAGTGAGTGAGCTAGCGACTGAGTGAGCTAGTGAGTGAGTGAGCTAGTGAGTGAGTGAGTGAGCTAGTGAGTGAGTGAGCTAGTGAGTGAGTGAGTGAGCTAGTGAGTGAGTGAGTGAGCTAGTGAGTGAGTGAGCTAGTGAGTGAGTGAGCTAGTGAGCGAGTGAGTGAGCTAATGAGTGAGCTAGTGAGTGAGCTAGTGAGTGAGTGAGTGAGCTAGTGAGTGAGTGAGTGAGCTAGTGAGTGAGTGAGCTAGTGAGTGAGCTAGTGAGTGAGTGAGCTAGTGAGTGAGTGAGCTAGCGAGTGAGTGAGCTAGTGAGTGAGCTAGCGAGTGAGTGAGTGAGTGAGCTAGTGAGTGAGTGAGCTAGCGAGTGAGTGAGCTAGTGAGTGAGCTAGCGAGTGAGTGAGTGAGCTAGCGAGCGGGCGAGCTAGTGAGTGAGTGAGCTAGTGAGTGAGAGAGTGAGCTAGTGAGTGAGCTAGTGAGTGAGAGAGTGAGCTAGTGAGTGAGTGAGTGAGCTAGTGAGTGAGCTAGTGAGTGAGTGAGTGAGCTAGTGAGTGAGTGAGAGAGTGAGCTCGTGAGTGAGTGAGCTAGTGAGTGAGAGAGTGAGCTAGCGAGTGAGAGAGTGAGCTAGTGAGTGAGTGAGCGAGCGAGCGGGTGAGCTAGTGAGTGAGTGAGTGAGCTAGTGAGTGAGTGAGCGAGCTAGTGAGTGAACTAGTGAGTGAGTGAGTGAGCTAGTGAGTGAGTGAGCGAGCTAGTGAGTGAACTAGTGAGTGAGCTAGCGAGTGAGTGAGTGAGCTAGTGAGTGAGCTAGCGAGTGAGTGAGTGAGCTAGTGAGTGAGTGAGTGAGCTAGTGAGTGAGTGAGTGCGCTAGCTAGTGAGTGAGCTAGTGAGTGAGTGAGTGAGCTAGTGAGTGAGCTAGCGAGTGAGTGAGTGAGTGAGCTAGTGAGTGAGTGAGCTAGTGAGTGAGTGAGCGAGCTAGTGAGTGAACTAGTGAGTGAGCTAGTGAGTGAGTGAGTGAGCTAGTGAGTGAGCTAGCGAGTGAGTGAGTGAGTGAGCTAGTGAGTGAGTGAGTGAGCTAGTGAGTGAGTGAGTGAGCTAGCTAGTGAGTGAGCTAGTGAGTGAGTGAGTGAGTGAGCTAGTGAGTGAGCTAGCGAGTGAGAGAGTGAGCTAGTGAGTGAGTGAGTGAGCTAGCTAGTGAGTGAGCTAGTGAGTGAGTGAGTGAGCTAGTGAGTGAGCTAGCGAGTGAGTGAGTGAGAGAGCTAGCGAGTGAGCTAGTGAGTGAGTGAGCGAGCTAGTGAGTGAGCTAGCGAGTGAGTGAGTGAGTGAGCTAGCTAGTGAGTGAGCTAGCGAGTGAGTGAGTGAGTGAGCTAGCGAGTGAGTGAGTGAGCTAGCGAGTGAGTGAGTGAGCTAGCGAGTGAGTGAGCTAGCGAGTGAGTGAGTGAGCTAGTGAGTGAGTGAGTGAGCTAGTGAGTGAGTGAGCTAGTGAGTGAGTGAGTGAGCTAGTGAGTGAGTGAGCTAGCGAGTGAGTGAGCTAGTGAGCTAGTGAGTGAGTGAGTGAGCTAGCGAGTGAGTGAGTGAGCTAGTGAGTGAGCTAGTGAGTGAGTGAGTGAGCTAGCGAGTGAGTGAGTGAGCTAGCGAGCAGGTGAGCTAGTGAGTGAGTGAGTGAGCTAGTGAGTGAGTGAGCTAGTGAGTGAGTGAGCGAGCGAGCTAGCGAGCGGGCGAGCTAGTGAGTGAGTGAGCTAGCTAGTGAGTGAGCTAGCGAGCGTGCGAGCGAGCGACAGCGTCCGTGCCTTGTCGGAGCGTGCGTGGTAGAGAGCACGTGGCTCTGGCCCGGGGCTGCCTCCCGTGTAGACGGGGCGGTACTTGTACATGGTTGGGGTCGGGGGACTCCCCACCCCCACATCTACACACACGCACACACATAAACAAGCACACACGCACACACGCACATACAACAACAACCGCCATTCGCCACCCAGGATGGATCGTAGGCAGGCCAGCCGAAATGTTTCCAACCGGCGAAGATGCTCCATTAGTGGGGGGGGTCCACGTTTCGCAAGCGTAGAGAAGGGAGGGAATGACCGTGACCGAGAAGACCTGAAGCTTAGTGCGGAGCGACAGACCAGGTAGCTTCCACACAGCGTTACGCAACCGGTGAAAAGATATTGCCGCTCGACACACAGACACACAAACATACATACATACACACACAGACACGCCCACATACACACACATACACAACAACAACCGCCATTCGCCGCTAAGTGGCGGTGACGTCACCACGACGCTTGTGCCAGGCTAGGTGCACGTTGAGGCAACGTGAAGTGTCGAACGCCCGCTGGCAGGAGGTCACGGGGCAGACCCAGCAGGTGCCACGTAGTTTTACCCGGGCCCGCTCACCGTCGTGAAGGTCCTCAATGATCGTGAGCAGAGGGGGTCAGGGGACTCCGAAAGCACGAAGAACAACCCAGAGGCCCAGGACCTACTGATGGCGTCATACGGCCTCGACCAGGTCAATAAAGCAGAGACGTAGGTCTTGCTGGAATTCCCTACACCTCTGCTGTAGCAGACGGACAGAAAATATGGCGTCTGTGCAGGACCGCCCTTTCCTGAAACCGCATTGGGGCTCCGCAAGCCTCTCTCCCTCAGCGTGCCTGGCGAGGCGACGTTGAATAATCCTTTTTGCCAGGACCTTTCCCGGCACACTGAGGAGTGAGATGCCCCTGTGGTTGTTACGGTCTGCGCGGTTCTCCCTTCTTAAAGAGGGGGGGACCACCAGGGCATCCTTCCAATCCTCCCGCGGAACCCGTCCAGCGGTCCAGATAGTTGTGGGGAGCGGCCGTGTAGAGGCTACGCTGCGCTATGAACCTGGCGACCCGGGTTCGATTCCCGCTCACGGCCAACACAACAAGTGGCGGTTATCTGGACCGGTCCTGGGCCTCCCCTAGGTCGACCCAGCCTCAAATTAGTGACCTGGTGTAGCTGTGCAGTAAACATCGCCAACTGGGGAGACAAAGGCGGCCGGGCGTGGTGCTGGCCACCCACCCCCTCTGTGTGTGCCGTTACCGGTATTCATAGGTGCTGCTAGCTAACAGCACTTGCCCCAACAGTCTGTTAAGGTTATACAGGGGATCTTTGTGATTGTACTTGTGTACGTGTGTGTACGTGTGTGTGTGTACGTGTGTGTGTGTACGTGCGTGTGTGTACGTGCGTGTGTGTACGTGCGTGTGTGTACGTGCGCGTGTGTACGTGCGTGTGTGTACGTGTGTGTGTGTACGTGTGCGTGTGTACGTGTGTGTGTACGTGCGCGTGTGTGTACGTGCGTGTGTGTGTACGTGTGTGTGTGTACGTGTGTGTGTACGTGTGTGTGTGTGTACGTGTGTGTACGCGTGTGTGTGTACGTGTGTGTGTACGTGTGTGTGTGTGTACGTGTGTGTACGAGTGTGTGTGTACGTGTGTGTGTGTACGTGTGTGTGTGTACGTGTGTGTACGCGTGTGTGTGTACGTGTGTGTGTGTGTAAGTGTACGTGTGTGTGCGTACGTGTGTGTGCGTACGTGTGTGTGTGTACGTGTGTGTGTACGTGTGTGTGTACGTGTGTGTGTGTACGTGTGTGTGTGTGTGTACGTGTGTGTGTGTACGTGTGTGTGTGTGTATGTGTGTGGGTGTATGTGTGTGTGTGTGTACGTGTGTGTGTGTACATGTGTGTGTCTGTACGTGTGTGTGTCTGTACGTGTGTGTACGTGTGTGTGCGTACGTGTGTGTGTACGTGTGTGTGTACGTGCGTGCGTGTGTGCGTGCGTGTGTGTGCGTACGTGTGTGTGTACGTGTGTGTGTGTACGTGTGCGTGTGTACGTGCGTGTGTACGTGCGTGCGTGTGGACGTGCGTGCGTGTACGTGCGTGCGTGTACGTGTGTGTGTGTACGTGTGTGTGTGTACGTGTGTGTGTGTGTACATGTGTATGTACGTGTGTGTATGTGTGTGTGTACGTGTGTGTGTGTACGTGTGTGTACGTGTATGTGTACGTGTGTGTGTACGTGTGTGTGTACGTGTGTGTGTACGTGTGTGTGTGTCTGTACGTACCGTCAGATGCCAGCCCCAGTTTGCGGGAGAGCTCTGGGTAGCGTCCGGGGTCCGGCTGGGGTGGTGGTGGAGCCTCCGAGTCCACAGACTGACTCTCTAGAGCATCCAGACTTCCCTTGGACTGTAACACACACACACACGTACACACACAAACACACACGTACACACACAGACACACACAGACACACACATACACACACAGACACACACAGACACACACAGACACACGTACACACACAGACACACACATACACACACACACAGACACACACAGACACACGTACACACACAGAGACACGTACACAACAACAACAACAACCGCCATTCGCCACTAAGTGGCGGTGACGTCACCACGACGCTTGTGCCAGGCTATGTGCACCCTGAGGCCACGTGAAGTGTCGAACGCCTGCTGGCAGGAGGTCACGGGGCAGACCCAGGTGCCACGGGTCGACTGACTGAGATGACTGGCTGATGCACCACCCGTGCCCCCTACTGTGCCAACCTGCTGTGCTTTAGCCACCCGGCGCTCCGCTCGTTGTTGTGAGCGTCGCTCCTCCGCCCTCCGTTGTTGTGGGAGGGCGACTACCTCCAACTGACCAGTAGCATCCTTCACGAGCCTCCTCCACAGAGGCCGATCTTGACACCGCTGGTACCAGTCATCGGCAAGTCCACTCAGCTCCACGTCCTCCTGTACCACATCACTCCATCTCTTCTCTAGCCCGTGCCGCGCCCGCTTAGCCCCCTCAATCCGGCCGAACAAAAGCTGTTTCGGCATGCGGTGGCTGGGCATGCGGGCTACATGACCCAGCCATCGCAGCCTTGCCTGTCGGAGGAGCTCACCGATGGGACCCTGCCCAGATCTTTCAAGGATTTGTGAGCTCCTCACACAATCCAGTCTGGTTAAACCCAGGATGGATCGTAGGCAGGCCAGCCTAAATGTTTCTAACCGGCGAAGATGTTCCATTAGGGTGGTTCACGTTTCGCAAGTGTAGAGAAGGGAGGGAATGACCGTGGCCGAGAAGACCCGAAGCTTAGTGCGGAGCGACAGACCAGGTAGCTTCCACACAGCGTCACGCAACCGATGAAAAGATATTGCCGCTCGACTGATTCGGAGTGAGACCTCTGCTGTTAAACTAGAGCCAGTCATAAGCACACTGCCCAGGTATGGGAAACTCTCCACTCTCTCCACAACTGCCCCATCACCGATTGGGAGTTGTGGGGGTGGAGTGTCCGATGGTACAAAATACCCAGGCAGGTGCTTAGTTTTGGTGGGGCTGATGGTAAGGCCCCACCTCTTAGTGGCACGCTCCAGTCTCAGCAGTAGCGTCTCCAACTCCTCCTCTGACTGAGCAGCTATTACCAAATCATCAGCATACATAACGTGGTTGAGCAATAGGGAGCCATCCCTTGACCGCACCTGGGCATCGATTAGCCTCCCATTATATCTGTACCATATGGAGATTCCCCCGGTACAGCTATTGAAGGCTTCACGAACTACGTGGTCAAAATAGATGTTAAATAATGTGGGAGCCAGAGGACATCCCTGTCGCACCCCAAGGTGTACAGAGAATGGCTCTGACTCCCGGCCACGTAGTTTTACCCGGGCCCGCTCACCATCATGAAGGTCCTTAATGATCGTGAGCAGAGGGTCAGGTACTCCAAAAGCACGAAGAACAACCCAGAGCCCAGGCCTACTGATGGTATCATAGGCCTTGACCAGGTCAATAAAGCAGAGATGTAGGTCTTGTTGGAATTCCCTACACCTCTGCTGTAGCAGACGGACAGAAAATATGGCATCTGTGCAGGACCGCCCTTTCCTGAAACCGCATTGGGGCTCCGCAAGCCTCTCCTTAGCGTGCCTGGCAAGGCGATGTTGAATAATCCTTGCGAGGACCTTTCCCGGCACACTGATGAGTGAGATGCCCCTGTAGTTGTTACAGTCTGTGCGGTCCCCCTTCTTAAAAAGGGGGACCACCAGGGCATCCTTCCAATCCTGCGGAACCCGTCCAGTGGTCCAGACCGTTGTTATGATGTCATATAGGGCAGTCTGTGCACAAACGCCACCCTCCCTCAGCATTTCACTTGGGAGATCATCTCTGCCCGCTGCCTTTCCTGGTCTCAGACTCCGGATTGCCTTTAGTACTTCCTCAACAGATGGCACTTCAGCCAGCCACTCACAGGGGGTGACTTCTCATCAGATAACTGAGACCAGGCCACTTTAGGTTGGAATGGGGTCCTGGGTGTACACCCACCACCGGAGTGGAAAAATGGCAGGCGCATCTTACAGATGACAAGTCGATGGTCAGTGGGCAGATTAGCTCCACAGTAGGTCCTGGTGTCAAGGACATGGGCCCGCATCCGCTGTTCCGTCACTATGTAGTCCAGCAGATGTTCTTGCTTGGACCCGGCATGCATCCATGGTGTGGTGTAGATGCACCGATGCCGGAACAACATGTTGGTAATTACAAGCCCATGGGCTGCACAAAAATCTAGCAGCCTCCTGCCTTTGTTATTGAGCTGATCTGGCCCATGCCTTCCAATCACTCCAGACCAGGTGCCAGCATAATGACCAACTCGGGCATTGAAGTCACCCAACAAGATGACTCTATCCCGAGGGGCCACTTTAGCCAGCACCTGTGACAGGAGGTCATAGAAGGCATCTGACTCATCGGCTTTGCCTGCATCCCTCCACGGATGTTCGTCTTCGGTGGGGGCATAAGTAACCACGACCACCACTCCTCGCCTCCGGTTGATGGGAAGGCGAGCCCAAAGTAGCCTGGGGCTTACAGCTTCCCACAACCTCACCGCCACGCTCCCACGCCCCCTTCATTCTTTTGTTCAAAAGAAGAGCCACACCCTGTTGTTTGACAGTCTGCTGCCCCGAGTAGAGGACTGTCCACCCCTCATGGTGGCGGGAGCCAGAACCGGTCCACCGGACCTCCTGAATGCCGCAGAGATCCAGGCGGTACCGGTCCAGCTCCCGACAGAGGAGCGGCAGCCTCTCCTCCGCAGTGAGCGTTCGAACATTCCACGTGGCCACCTTTAGTGGCTTTTCGTTGTTTCTGGAGGAGCCCCGAGGGTAGAGATTCAGTCTCCTGGCTCCGCCAATTGTGGTTTGACCAGGAGACGTCATAGACGCCTGTCCCCCCGGGGCCTCCGGCACAAGCTTATTGATTAGATATTTTAAACGTGGTTTAGTGGTCATCTATTGAAAGGGTGGAGGGGTTGCCAGCCCCTCGCACCCGTCCAGAGCCCCCGTTTAGCCGCCGTGGTGGCTATGGGACGAAAGGCCAATCGCAGCGTTGCCTGTCCGGCACCACGAGGAGGTGGGGGGTTGTTTTGCAGACAGACCGTGCGTGCGTGTGTACACGTACGTGTGTACACGTGTGCGTGTGTACACGCACGTGTGTGTACACACGTGTGTGTACACGTGCGCGTGTGTACACGTCTGTGTGTACACGTGCGTGTGTGCGTGTGTACACGTGTGTGTACACGTGCGTGTGTGCGTGTGTACACGTGCGTGTACACGTGCGTGTGTGCGTGTGTACACGTGCGTGTACACGTGCGTGTGTGTGCGTGTGTACACGTGCGTGTGTGTGCGTGTGTACACGTGTGCGTGTGTGTGTACACGTGTGTGTGCGTACACGTGTGTACACGTGTGTGTGTGTCTACGCGTGTGTGTGTGTCTACGCGTGTGTGTGTGTACACGTGTGTGCGTGTGTACACGTGCGTGTGTACACGTGTGTGTGTACACGTGTGTGTGTGTACACGTGTGTGTGTGTACACGTGTGTGTGTGTACACGTGTGTGTGTGTACACGTGTGTGTGTGTACACGTGTGTGTGTGTGTACACGTGTGTGTGTGTACACGTGTGTGTGTACACGTGTGTGTGTGTACACGTGTGTGTGTGTGTACACGTGTGTGTGTGTGCGTGCGTTTCTCACCCTGCTGCGGTGAGCGTGGATGCCGTTGTCGGTGAGCGTCACCTTCAGCTGAGCCTCCTCCTCATTGGGCGTCACGAAGGGCGGGGACAGCGCCGCCGAGGGGAGGGGCCTCTTGGCACGCGGGCGGCCCACGTAGCTGGGGGGGGGGCACGGGGGGCACGGGGGGGGGGGGGGGAGGGGGGGGGGAGACGTGGGGGGGGGGTCACAAGTTGGTTGCCAAACGGGGTCACCACAGACGTCACTGCCATGTGTAACACTGTGTAACACTGTGTAACGTTGTGTAACACTGTGTAACGTTGTGTAACACAATGTTACACAACGTTACACAGTGTAACACTGTGTAACTGTGTAACACTGTGTAACTGTGTAACACTGTGTAACTGTGTAGCTGTGTAACTGTGTAACACTGTGTAACTGTGTAACACTGTGTAACTGTGTAACACTGTGTAACGTTGTGTAACACTGTGTAACGTTGTGTAACACTGTGTAACTGTGTAACACTGTGTAGCTGTGTAACACTGTGTAGCTGTGTAACACTGTGTAACTGTGTAACACTGTGTAACTGTGTAACACTGTGTAACTGTGTAACATTGTGTAACACTGTGTAACTGTGTAACACTGTGTAACTGTGTAACACTGTGTAACTGTGTAACACTGTGTAGCTGTGTAACACTGTGTAACTGTGTAACACTGTGTAACTGTGTAGCTGTGTAACTGTGTAACACTGTGTAACACTGTGTAACGTTGTGTAACACTGTGTAACTGTGTAACACTGTGTAACTGTGTAACACTGTGTAACTGTGTAGCTGTGTAACTGTGTAACACTGTGTAACACTGTGTAACTGTGTAACACTGTGTAACTGTGTAACACTGTGTAACGTTGTGTAACACTGTGTAACGTTGTGTAACACTGTGTAACTGTGTAACACTGTGTAGCTGTGTAACACTGTGTAGCTGTGTAACACTGTGTAACTGTGTAACACTGTGTAACTGTGTAACACTGTGTAACTGTGTAACATTGTGTAACACTGTGTAACTGTGTAACACTGTGTAACTGTGTAACACTGTGTAACTGTGTAACACTGTGTAGCTGTGTAACACTGTGTAACTGTGTAACACTGTGTAACTGTGTAGCTGTGTAACTGTGTAACACTGTGTAACACTGTGTAACTGTGTAACACTGTGTAACGTTGTGTAACACTGTGTAACGTTGTGTAACACTGTGTAACTGTGTAACACTGTGTAGCTGTGTAACACTGTGTAGCTGTGTAACACTGTGTAACTGTGTAACACTGTGTAACTGTGTAACACTGTGTAACTGTGTAACATTGTGTAACACTGTGTAACTGTGTAACACTGTGTAACTGTGTAACACTGTGTAACTGTGTAACACTGTGTAGCTGTGTAACACTGTGTAACTGTGTAACACTGTGTAACTGTGTAACACTGTGTAACTGTGTAACACTGTGTAACACTGTTTAACTGTGTAACACTGTGAAACTGTGTAACACTGTGTAACTGTGTAACACTGTGTAACTGTGTAGCTGTGTAACTGTGTAACACTGTGTAACTGTGTAACACTGTGTAACTGTGTAACACTGTGTAACTGTGTAACACTGTGTAACTGTGTAACATTGTGTAACACTGTGTAACTGTGTAACACTGTGTAACTGTGTAACACTGTGTAACTGTGTAACACTGTGTAGCTGTGTAACACTGTGTAACTGTGTAACACTGTGTAACTGTGTAACACTGTGTAACTGTGTAACACTGTGTAACACTGTTTAACTGTGTAACACTGTGAAACTGTGTAACACTGTGTAACTGTGTAACACTGTGTAACTGTGTAACACTGTGTAACTGTGTAACACTGTTTAACTGTGTAACATTGTGTAACTGTGTAACGCTGTGTAACTGTGTAACACTGTGTAACTGTGTAACACTGTGTAACTGTGTAACACTGTGTAACTGTGTAACACTGTGTAACGCTGTGTAGCTGTGTAACACTGTGTAACTGTGTAACACTGTGTAACTGTGTAACACTGTGTAACTGTGTAACACTGTGTAACTGTGTAGCACTGTGTAACACTGTGTAACTGTGTAACACTGTAACTGTGTAACACTGTGTAACTGTGTAACACTGTGTAACTGTGTAACACTGTGTAACGTAACACTGTGTAACTGTGTAACACTGTGTAACTGTGTAACACTGTGTAGCTGTGTAGCACTGTGTAACACTGTGTAACTGTGTAGCACTGTGTAACACTGTGTAACTGTGTAACACTGTGTAACGTTGTGTAACACTGTGTAACTGTGTAACACTGTGTAGCTGTGTAGCACTGTGTAACACTGTGTAACTGTGTAGCACTGTGTAACACTGTGTAACTGTGTAACACTGTGTAACTGTGTAGCACTGTGTAACACTGTGTAACTGTGTAGCACTGTGTAACACTGTGTAACTGTGTAACACTGTAACGGTGTGTAACACTGTGTAACTGTGTAACACTGTGTAACTGTGTAACACTGTGTAACTGTGTAACACTGTGTAACTGTGTAACACTGTGTAACTGTGTAACACTGTGTAACTGTGTAACACTGTGTAACTGTGTAAAATTGTGTAACTGTGTAACACTGTGTAACTGTGTAACACTGTGTAACTGTGTAACACTGTTTAACTGTGTAACACTGTGTAACTGTGTAACACTGTGTAACTGTGTAACACTGTGTAACTGTGTAACACTGTGTAACTGTGTAACACTGTGTAACTGTGTAACACTGTGTAACTGTGTAACACTGTGTAACTGTGTAACACTGTGTAACTGTGTAACACTGTGTAGCTGTGTAACACTGTGTAGCTGTGTAACACTGTGTAACTGTGTAACACTGTGTAACTGTGTAACACTGTGTAACTGTGTAACACTGTGTAACTGTGTAACACTGTGTAACTGTGTAACACTGTGTAACTGTGTAACACTGTGTAACTGTGTAACGTAGTAACACTGTGTAACTGTGTAACACTGTGTAACTGTGTAACGTTGTGTACCGCTGTGTAACTGTGTAACACTGTGTAGCTGTGTAACACTGTGTAACTGTGTAACACTGTGTAACTGTGTAACACTGTGTAGCTGTGTAACACTGTGTAACTGTGCAACACTGTGTAACTGTGTAACACTGTGTAGCTGTGTAACACTGTGTAACTGTGTAACACTGTGTAACTGTGTAACACTGTGTAGCTGTGTAACACTGTGTAACTGTGTAACACTGTGTAACTGTGTAACACTGTGTAACTGTGTAACACTGTGTAACGTTGTGTAACACTGTGTAACTGTGTAACACTGTGTAACACTGTTTAACTGTGTAACACTGTGTAACTGTGTAACACTGTGTAACGTTGTGTAACACTGTGTAACTGTGTAACACTGTGTAACTGTGTAACACTGTGTAACTGTGTAACACTGTGTAACTGTGTAACACTGTGTAACTGTGTAACACTGTGTAACTGTGTAACGTAACACTGTGTAACTGTGTAACACTGTGTAACGTAACACTGTGTAACTGTGTAACACTGTGTAACTGTGTAACACTGTGTAACACTGTGTAACGTAACACTGTGTAACTGTGTAACACTGTGTAACTGTGTAACACTGTGTAACTGTGTAACACTGTGTAACTGTGTAACACTGTGTAACTGTGTAACACTGTGTAACTGTGTAACACTGTGTAACTGTGTAACACTGTGTAACTGTGTAACACTGTGTAACTGTGTAACACTGTGTAACTGTGTAACACTGTGTAACTGTGTAACACTGTGTAACACTGTGTAACTGTGTAACACTGTGTAACTGTGTAACACTGTGTAACTGTGTAACACTGTGTAACTGTGTAACACTGTAACTGTGTAACACTGTGTAACTGTGTAACACTGTGTAACTGTGTAACACTGTGTAACTGTGTAACGTTGTGTAACTGTGTAACGTTGTGTAACTGTGTAACGTTGTGTAACTGTGTAACACTGTGTAACTGTGTAGCTGTGTAACTGTGTAACACTGTGTAACTGTGTAACACTGTGTAACTGTGTAACACTGTGTAACTGTGTAACACTGTGTAACGTAACACTGTGTAACGTAACACTGTGTAACTGTGTAACACTGTGTAACTGTGTAACACTGTGTAACTGTGTAACACTGTGTAACTGTGTAACACTGTGTAACTGTGTAACACTGTGTAACTGTGTAACACTGTGTAACTGTGTAACACTGTGTAACTGTGTAACACTGTGTAACTGTGTAACACTGTGTAACTGTGTAACACTGTGTAACTGTGTAACACTGTGTAACTGTGTAACACTGTGTAACTGTGTAAACACTGTGTAACTGTGTAACACTGTGTAACTGTGTAACACTGTGTAACTGTGTAACACTGTGTAACTGTGTAACATTGTGTAACTGTGTAACATTGTGTAACTGTGTAACATTGTGTAACTGTGTAACATTGTGTAACACTGTGTAACATTGTGTAACATTGTGTAACACTGTGTAACACTGTGTAACTGTGTAACACTGTGTAACTGTGTAACACTGTGTAACTGTGTAACACTGTGTAACTGTGTAACACTGTGTAACTGTGTAACACTGTGTAACTGTGTAACACTGTGTAACGTTGTGTAACACTGTGTAACGTTGTGTAACACTGTGTAACTGTGTGTAACACTGTGTAACGTTGTGTAACACTGTGTAACGTTGTGTAACACTGTGTAACTGTGTAACACTGTGTAACTGTGTAACACTGTGTAACTGTGTAACACTGTGTAACACTGTGTAACTGTGTAACACTGTGTAACTGTGTAACACTGTGTAACTGTGTAACACTGTGTAGCTGTGTAACACTGTGTAACTGTGTAACACTGTGTAACTGTGTAACACTGTGTAACTGTGTAACATTGTGTAGCTGTGTAACACTGTGTAACTGTGTAACACTGTGTAACTGTGTAACACTGTGTAACTGTGTAACACTGTGTAACTGTGTAGCTGTGTAACTGTGTAACACTGTGTAACTGTGTAACACTGTGTAACTGTGTAACACTGTGTAACGGTGTAACACTGTGTAAACTGTGTACCGCTGTGTAACTGTGTAACACTGTGTAACTGTGTAACACTGGTGTAACTGTGTAAGCTGTGTAACTGTGTAACCCTGGTTAACACGGTGTAACTGTGTAACACTGTGTAACTGTGTAACACTGTGTAACTGTGTAACGCTGTGTAACTGTGTAACACTGTGTAACTGTGTAACACTGTGTAACTGTGTAACACTGTGTAACTGTGTAACACTGTGTAACTGTGTAACACTGTGTAACACTGTGTAACTGTGTAACACTGTGTAACTGTGTAACACTGTGTAACTGTGTAGCACTGTGTAACACTGTGTAACTGTGTAACACTGTGTAACTGTGTAACACTGCGTAACTGTGTAACACTGTGTAACTGTGTAACACTGTGTAACTGTGTAACACTGTGTAACTGTGTACCTGTGTAACTGTGTAGCTGTGTAACTGTGTAGCTGTGTAACTGTGTACCTGTGTAACTGTGTAGCTGTGTAACTGTGTAACACTGTGTAACTGTGTAGCTGTGTAACTGTGTACCTGTGTAACTGTGTAGCTGTGTAACTGTGTAACACTGTGTAACTGTGTACCGCTGTGTAACTGTGTAACTGTGTAGCTGTGTAGCTGTGTAACACTGTGTAACTGTGTAGCTGTGTAACTGTGTAGCTGTGTAACACTGTGTAACTGTGTAGCTGTGTAACACTGTGTAACTGTGTAACACTGTGTAACTGTGTAGCTGTGTAACTGTGTAACACTGTGTAACTGTGTAACACTGTGTAACTGTGTAGCTGTGTAACACTGTGTAACTGTGTAACACTGTGTAACTGTGTAGCTGTGTAACTGTGTAACACTGTGTAGCTGTGTACCGCTGTGTAGCTGTGTACCGCTGTGTAACTGTGTACCGCTGTGTAACTGTGTAACACTGTGTAGCTGTGTACCACCGTGTACCGCTGTGTAACATAACGTTGTGTAACTGTGTACCGCTGTGTACCACCGTGTACCGCTGTGTAACGTTGTGTACCGCTGTGTAGCTGTGTACCACCGTGTACCGCTGTGTAACATAACGTTGTGTACCGCTGTGTAGCTGTGTACCACCGTGTACCGCTGTGTAACATAACGTTGTGTAACTGTGTACCGCTGTGTAGCTGTGTACCGTGGGGCTTGGGGTGAGCACAGGACGTGCTGAACGTTACTGCAGCAGCCACGAGTGAACGGGTTGAGACCCCCACGGAACTTCCCTGTTACCTGCCAGACACACACGGAGACAGAGACACACGGAGACACACAGAGACACACGGAGACACACGGAGACACACGGAGACAGAGACACACGGAGACACACAGAGACAGAGACACACAGAGACACACGGAGGCAGAGACACACAGAGACACACGGAGACACACGGAGACACACGGAGACAGAGACACACAGAGACAGAGACACACAGAGACAGAGACACACAGAGACAGAGACACACAGAGACACACGGAGACACACGGAGACACACGGAGACAGAGACACACGGAGACACACAGAGACAGAGACACACAGAGACACACGGAGGCAGAGACACACAGAGACACACGGAGACACACGGAGACACACGGAGACAGAGACACACAGAGACAGAGACACACAGAGACAGAGACACACAGAGACAGAGACACACAGAGACACACGGAGACAGAGACACACAGAGACACACGGAGACAGAGACACACAGAGACAGAGACACACAGAGACACACGGAGACACACGGAGACACACGGAGACGGAGACACACGGAGACACACGGAGACACACGGAGACAGAGACACACGGAGACAGAGACACACAGAGACACACAGAGACAGAGACACACAGAGACAGAGACACACGGAGACACACGGAGACAGAGACACACGGAGATAGAGACACACAGAGACACACGGAGACACACGGAGACACACGGAGACAGAGACACACGGAGACACACGGAGACACACGGAGACAGAGACACACGGAGACACACGGAGGCAGAGACACACAGAGACACACGGAGACGGAGACACACGGAGACACACGGAGACACACGGAGACAGAGACACACGGAGACACACGGAGGCAGAGACACACAGAGACACACGGAGACACACGGAGACAGAGACACACGGAGACACACGGAGACAGAGACACACGGAGATAGAGACACACAGAGACACACAGAGACACACGGAGACAGAGACACACGGAGACACACGGAGACACACGGAGACAGAGACACACAGAGACACACGGAGACAGAGACACACAGAGACACACGGAGACACACGGAGACAGAGACACACGGAGACACACAGAGACACACGGAGACACACGGAGACACACGGAGACAGAAACACACGGAGACACACGGAGACAGAGACACACGGAGACAGAGACACACAGCGACACACAGAGACAGAGACACACAGAGACACACGGAGACACACGGAAACACACGGAGACAGAGACACACAGAGACAGAGACACACAGAGACACACGGAGACAGAGACACACGGAGACAGAGACACACGGAGACAGAGACACACAGAGACACACGGAGACAGAGACACACAGAGACACACAGAGACAGAGACACGCAGAGACACACGGAGACAGAGACACACAGAGACACACGGAGACACACGGAGAGAGACACACAGAGACAGAGACACACGTGTGAGTGAGCGAGCGAGTGTATGGGTGAGTGTATGGGTGAGTGAGTGTATGAGTGAGTGAGTGTGTGAGTGTGTGAGTGAGTGTATGAGTGAGTGTATGGGTGAGTGAGTGAGTGTGTGAGTATGTGAGTGAGTGTATGAGTGAGTGTATGAGTGAGTGAGTGTATGAGTGAGTGTATGAGTGAGTGAGTGTATGAGTGAGTGTATGAGTGAGTGAGTGTGTGAGTGAGTGTATGAGTGAGTGTACGGGTGAGTGTGTGGGTGAGTGAGTGTACGGGTGAGTGTACGGGTGAGTGTACAGGTGAGTGTACGGGTGAGTGTGTGAGTGAGTGTACGGGTGAGTGTACGGGTGAGTGTGTGGGTGAGTGAGTGTACGGGTGAGTGAGTGGGTGAGTGTGTGAGTGAGTGTATGAGTGAGTGAGTGTGTGAGTGAGTGTATGAGTGAGTGTATGAGTGTGTGAGTGTACGGGTGAGTGTACGGGTGAGTGTACGGGTGAGTGAGTGAGTGTATGAGTGAGTGTGTGAGTGAGTGTGTGGGTGAGTGAGTGTACGGGTGAGTGTACGGGTGAGTGTACGGGTGAGTGTACGGGTGAGTGTACGGGTGAGTGAGTGTATGAGTGAGTGTATGAGTGAGTGAGTGTATGAGTGAGTGTATGAGTGAGTGAGTGTACGGGTGAGTGTACGGGTGAGTGTACGGGTGAGTGTGTGAGTGAGTGAGTGTACGGGTGAGTGTACGGGTGAGTGTGTGAGTGAGTGAGTGTACGGGTGAGTGTACGGGTGAGTGTACGGGTGAGTGTACGGGTGAGTGAGTGAGTGTACGGGTGAGTGTACGGGTGAGTGTACGGGTGAGTGTGTGAGTGAGTGAGTGTACGGGTGAGTGTACGGGTGAGTGTACGGGTGAGTGTACAGGTGAGTGAGTGAGTGAGTGTATGAGTGAGTGTATGAGTGAGTGTATGAGTGAGTGAGTGTACGGGTGAGTGTACGGGTGAGTGAGTGTACGGGTGAGTGTACGGGTGAGTGTACGGGTGAGTGTACGGGTGAGTGTACGGCTGAGTGAGTGTACGGGTGAGTGTACGGGTGACTGTGTGAGTGTATGAGTGAGTGTATGGGTGAGTGAGTGTACGGGTGAGTGTATGGGTGAGTGTACGGGTGAGTGTACGGGTGAGTGTACTGGTGAGTGTACTGGTGAGTGTACGGGTGAGTGAGTGTATGGGTGAGTGTACGGGTGAGTGTACGGGTGAGTGAGTGAGTGAGTGTACGGGTGAGTGTGTGAGTGAGTGAGTGTACGGGTGAGTGTACGGGTGAGTGTACGGGTGAGTGAGTGAGTGTATGAGTGAGTGTATGAGTGAGTGAGTGTACGGGTGAGTGTGTGAGTGAGTGAGTGTACGGGTGAGTGTACGGGTGAGTGTACGGGTGAGTGTACGGGTGAGTGAGTGTACGGGTGAGTGTACGGGTGACTGTGTGAGTGTATGAGTGAGTGTATGGGTGAGTGAGTGTACGGGTGAGTGTACGGGTGAGTGTACGGGTGAGTGTACTGGTGAGTGTACTGGTGAGTGTACGGGTGAGTGAGTGTATGGGTGAGTGTACGGGTGAGTGTACGGGTGAGTGTACGGGTGAGTGTACGGGTGAGTGTATGGGTGAGTGTACGGGTGAGTGTGTGGGTGAGTGTGTGGGTGAGTGTGTGGGTGAGTGGGTGAGTGTACGGGTGAGTGTACGGGTGAGTGTACGGGTGAGTGTACGGGTGAGTGTGTGAGTGAGTGTACGGGTGAGTGTGTGGGTTAGTGTACGGGTGAGTGTACGGGTGAGTGTATGGGTGAGTGAGTGTACGGGTGAGTGTATGAGTGAGTGAGTGTACGGGTGAGTGTACGGGTGAGTGTATGGGTGAGTGAGTGAGTGAGTGTACGGGTAAGTGTACGGGTGAGTGTACGGGTGAGTGAGTGTACGGGTGAGTGTATGGGTGAGTGAGTGGGTGAGTGTACGGGTGAGTGAGTGTACGGGTGAGTGTATGGGTGAGTGAGTGGGTGAGTGTACGGGTGAGTGAGTGTACGGGTGAGTGTACGGGTGAGTGTACGGGTGAGTGTACGGGTGAGTGTACGGGTGAGTGAGTGTACGGGTGAGTGTACGGGTGAGTGTACGGGTGAGTGTACGGGTGAGTGAGTGGGTGAGTGTACGGGTGAGTGTACGGGTGAGTGTACGGGTGAGTGTACGGGTGAGTGTACGGGTGAGTGTACGGGTGACTGTGTGAGTGTATGAGTGAGTGTATGGGTGAGTGAGTGTACGGGTGAGTGTATGGGTGAGTGTACGGGTGAGTGTACGGGTGAGTGTACTGGTGAGTGTACTGGTGAGTGTACGGGTGAGTGAGTGTATGGGTGAGTGTACGGGTGAGTGTACGGGTGAGTGTACGGGTGAGTGAGTGAGTGAGTGTACGGGTGAGTGTGTGAGTGAGTGAGTGTACGGGTGAGTGTACGGGTGAGTGTACGGGTGAGTGAGTGAGTGTATGAGTGAGTGTATGAGTGAGTGAGTGTACGGGTGAGTGTGTGAGTGAGTGAGTGTACGGGTGAGTGTACGGGTGAGTGTACGGGTGAGTGTACGGGTGAGTGAGTGTACGGGTGAGTGTACGGGTGACTGTGTGAGTGTATGAGTGAGTGTATGGGTGAGTGAGTGTACGGGTGAGTGTACGGGTGAGTGTACGGGTGAGTGTACTGGTGAGTGTACTGGTGAGTGTACGGGTGAGTGAGTGTACGGGTGAGTGTACGGGTGAGTGTACGGGTGAGTGTACGGGTGAGTGTACGGGTGAGTGTATGGGTGAGTGTACGGGTGAGTGTGTGGGTGAGTGTGTGGGTGAGTGTGTGGGTGAGTGGGTGAGTGTACGGGTGAGTGTACGGGTGAGTGTACGGGTGAGTGTACGGGTGAGTGTGTGAGTGAGTGTACGGGTGAGTGTGTGGGTTAGTGTACGGGTGAGTGTACGGGTGAGTGTATGGGTGAGTGAGTGTACGGGTGAGTGTATGAGTGAGTGAGTGTACGGGTGAGTGTACGGGTGAGTGTATGGGTGAGTGAGTGAGTGAGTGTACGGGTGAGTGTACGGGTGAGTGTACGGGTGAGTGAGTGTACGGGTGAGTGTATGGGTGAGTGAGTGGGTGAGTGTACGGGTGAGTGTACGGGTGAGTGTACGGGTGAGTGAGTGTACGGGTGAGTGTATGGGTGAGTGAGTGGGTGAGTGTACGGGTGAGTGAGTGTACGGGTGAGTGTATGGGTGAGTGAGTGGGTGAGTGAGTGTACGGGTGAGTGTACGGGTGAGTGTACGGGTGAGTGTACGGGTGAGTGTACGGGTGAGTGAGTGGACGGGTGAGTGTACGGGTGAGTGTACGGGTGAGTGTACGGGTGAGTGAGTGGGTGAGTGTACGGGTGAGTGTACGGGTGAGTGTACGGGTGAGTGTACGGGTGAGTGTACGGGTGAGTGAGTGTACGGGTGAGTGTACGGGTGAGTGTACGGGTGAGTGTATGGGTGAGTGAGTGAGTGAGTGTATGAGTGAGTGTGTGAGTG